GAGCCAACATCTGTCATCCAGTAAATGTAAGATATGACAAGTGAGTGGTCGATATTGTCATTGTCAGACATGTTTTATTTTAGTCACATGATTAAGTTTTGTGCCATTCATTATTTTTACAAAATGTCATGTCACATCAAGTCTCTTTAATGATAAAATCTCTGAGGTGCTGTGTCAAAGAAATTAATACAAATGTGTGTTGTGAAACAAATGTTGAGTATCTCTTCAGTTTACAACAATATTAATCCAGTTCTCCATTTCTCCCTCTCACTAACCATTACTGCTAACACAACCAATAAATTACATCATGAGCGCAGGCTGAGCTGTTGTTAAAGGTGCATTAAAACCTGCCTGCAGTTCAGTGGTGACTCACTTGTTTGATCTTTGTAAAAAAGAAAGCTAAAGTCCCTGCTGAAAATAAAATGAACAGTGTAATGAAGTGATGACAGTTTGGGCTGTTCAGCTGTGGCCGTCGACGAACCACAACATTCACCCCACTCTGCTCGATGTAACATCCATTTAAACTGTCACATTTCCAAGAGCTGCTGGGGAAAACAGTCTTGTTCCCAGATGAAACATCAGGCATTTTGAGTTTGGTTTTGAAAAGGTTTAATTAAAAGCAAACATCGAAGTCAAATTTTGCAAAGCGAAGAGGAATATGCAGTCTTTCAGCTGATGTTAAAATCTGAAACGCCTGGAATTCTTTTGTTTACATAACTGAGTCAATTATCCTTTTTTTTTTTTACAACAGCAAGTACTCTGTTATCTTTTCATTTATTATCAAATGCCAATTCTGTATATTCAGTTCCTAATTAATCATAACAGTCAGAAGACTGTTATTCATGAGACAAAGTGAGTCTCCTCTCTGGTTTGTTCCTCTGAGGTTTAACAATCATGCTGATTTGGAAATACACATCTTTATTTCCTTATGAGCAAATATGTGCTGTAATTAATCACATCCTTTCCACTGGACTTTGTTTCATGACGCCTCGTCTCCCTTCCATCCTTCCTGTTTTTCCTCTGCTGTCATTTAATCTGTAGTGTGGCGCTGTGACGCAGGCAGAGCGTCACTTTTTCCTCCGTGGAAATGTCATCTTAATCAGATGCCCTCACTTCCAGGGCGAAGCAGTGGCGTCATCGGATCCATGGATCCAAAGTGAACTTGTCCATAAACATCAGCTCTTGTGTTCACCTGCTCCTCCTCCTCCCTGTATGTGCAGCGGAAATGCTCTTTAATAGATAGCTCTTCACTAACTCTGATTTTCAGCTCCTCTTTGTATCAAGTCTGAAATGTTTTTGGGTTTCTTTCCAGCACATTTACTGTAAATTATATTTTGTGTATGTGGTGCCCTGCACACAATTGTCTCAAACACTCCTCTGACAAAGAGATTTTAAAACAGTTTTAAAAAGCCAAGTCTCCATTTTTCACTCCTCCTCACAGTAATGTCGTCAACTTCTTTCCTCCCTCCACTATGTCACTGTTTATGATCATCACTACTTTCCGTTTAAGCTTCTCCCTTGCATAGCAATCGTGTGCTTTAGATTAGTTAGTTGGTGTAGAGGAGAAATGTTTCATCACTAACTGGTGAAAGGTGCAGGTGTGGAGTTAACTTTATATATTGAACAACTGAGTCTGCAAACAATAACCAAAGAGCTATAGGTGAACAAGTATTGAGCGTAATGTTGAACAACAATATGATTTATTTACCAATTATAACTTCCTTACCTAATGGGTTTGATAGAGTATTAATACCATATATCTAACGTAAAAGGGGTTAGAGTTACATTTCCTCCATTCAAAATGCTGTGTTCAATTTCTTCTGGAATTTCTCTGGAATTTCTGGAGGATTTCTCATGTGCTGCTCTTACTGGATGGAGTGATCATCTTCAGCAAATCATTTTATGTGCAGTATGTCAGTCAGTTTCACCAGTGGGGCGGGTTGCACCTGCACATTGCGCTATTGCATGAAAATTGTCATGTTCATAAATTAAAGAATGAAGACACGGTGAAGACACGAAGTGATCGGCATATTTATTCTGAGTAATTGGCAGCAACATAACTGCACCTCTGAACTCTGGATTTTTTTGTTTGTTTATGTCAGACGACCAGAGGAAGAGACTAGATAGATAAATGAGCGGTTTTACATCGGAATTGTTTATCAGGTACTCTAAAGACAGACCTGTTTGTTCGCCTCCAGGTTCACGTTTTTTCTTTGCTTTTTTTTCTTCCCTTAAATGATGCTTCATTTTGCATAAATATATAAAATAAACCATGTTATAAACAGCTCAAGAAACGCCGGCTGCTCGGGAGCTGAACGCGACTGTCTGCTGGGTTTCGTGTATCTTGTTAATGCATAAACACTGTCGACTGAGCGGGACTCGGCGGTGCTGCTCAGGTGACGTTTCTGTTCGCGTGGTACCATTAATAACACACGCACGTGCTGCATCACATTCCATCTGCCCCCCTGGAGCACGTGCCATGTTCCAAAGCTCTTACATTTCCACGATAACTGTCGCGTGAGCGCTGTGTTTTATCAACCTTTGGCGGCAGCCATTGTCCCACTGCTTTGACATACTATCTGGTGAGCCTCTGGGATCAATGCTGTTATCTGTTTGTGAAACCAACATGTTGTGTTGCGACGTGAGGAGCACACAGGTGACAGAGTGGTCGCCCGTTAAAAGCTTCCTGGCCAGTAATACCTCCATAAACCCTTTAGCTTCTAATTGACCACCGTGTTTCTTTAGCTCGTCTTTAATTTAGGAATGACGCATGCTGAATTAGCAGACTGTGCATAACGCTGCGCCCTTGTGCGCGCGCCGAAGCCGCTGATGCGCGAGCCCCGCCGTGCCGCAGAGAACGAACCATGTGAAGAACAACGGCTGTTTTGACAGTCAGGGTGCTCGTGAGGGGGATACTTGACACAAATATGCAAGTGTGAATGGGCTCTGGTCGTTTATTTAAAGACATATTTCACCGTCAATTTGCACTCAATGCCTTATAAGGAAAGACAGTCGTGCCTTTCTGCAATAGGCCGAGCGCTGCAGCCTGCGGATCCCTGCACTTTAACCCTTTCACTGCTGAATTTTATTTAGTCCAACCGTATAAAACAATGCAGCGAGGACTTCAAAGACAATTTAACATTTTTATTTTTAAAGCAATGCATCGAAAATGTATCCGTGCTGTAGATATAAGTGCAATGAATAACACTAAACAACTGGATATAGGAGACAATGGCAGTAAGCAACTGGATATGTGATTTGAAATTTTCTCTTTGTCCGTCTATATCATTTTTTGTATTATTATTTTCACTTTGGTACAACCTTAGGCACTGCCTTTTAAAAAAACTCTAGGTTTGGTGCCAGACGTCTTTGTGTCGCTTTAACGTCAGGCCTAAGCTGGTTCACACCGTGAATCATGTCGGCACGCTCTCCGTGCCAAGCGATAACGGAACCGTCTGATGCCTGTCCTGTCGGGACTCCGTAGTCAGAAATGACACTGCTGGAGTTAAAGCCGGCGGGGTGAGAGCCCCGACAGGGGATGCTGACCTACATCGACTGCCACACAACCAGGGGACCATCTTTTAACACCGAGAGAGAGAGAGAAAATCCACCAGAAAATTACCCGCGACACGGTGCCATCTGAAATGTCATCTCTTTGTGTGACCTTGACTCAGAGAGGATATGGAATATATATTCATTGTAACGCGCACAACAGCGGCCGGGCTCTGCCAGCAGTTTAACCATACACGAGCAATGATTCATGGCGCATTACACATAAGCGGCTCAGTGCAACGCTATAGCAGCACCTAATGGGAATTTGTTTCCCTGTTCCACCAGGATTCCCCGTAATAGCCGAGGCCTTGTTATGGCGGCGGTGATAAATCAGTGTCGAACAGGCTCTGGCCTTAACGTTGGTTGGGCCTATCGTGAGTTGTCAGGTGGAATAATTCGTTTTGTGGTACTGATTGTCTTACAAGTGGACCCAACTGTATCATCTGCCCAACTCATTAATACATGTTTGATAGCCCTGTGTGTGGTTGGCGACACTGAAGGCGCAGGGATACGAACCCAGCCCGACGTGTCCTGGCTGAAAATACTAAATGAAGCTAAAGGCCTGGACAAGCTGCAACATTTGAGCTGGTGAGCACATTCAGGCCATCGCGGTTTAGGATAAAAAACGCTCCCCTCTTTCATAGCACCCTCTTGCAGTTGGATCTCGCTACACATCCAGCAACACAAGAGGCAGGCACGGTGCGTTCAGTGTTTCATCTCACCTCGTACTTTAGACAACCACATTCCGTTTTTGTTTTTTTAATGTGCTTGTCTTTGGTTGAACATTATAAAACGTGTTATGTGCGCTATGATTGTTATCTCCGTGGATTCCTGTGTCATGGGAGGGTAGGGCTTCGTTCCAACCAAACAAAACAGTAGTTTCACATACTGGCACTCCTTCTCAGCCAGAGAGGGGAGAAAAACAACTTTCTTCCATGATACAAGTATGGGAAAGGAAGAGGAAATATTGTCCTTAACAATTTTGGTTTTGTGCCACAGCATAGCCAAGAATAGGTGTGTGTGTGTGTGTGTGTGTGTGTGTGTGTGTGTGTGTGTGTGTGTGTTAATTGATTACTTGATAAGCTATGTGGTATATTCATGTTTTATTTGTGCCGAAACTGACTAACAGTTGAATAACGAGTTAAATTCAAAAGAAAGTCCTAATTTATTCTAGGTGAAACAAGTTAAATAATCTATGATCATATAATTCAGGCTTCAATCAGTTGTTGCCATGTTTTTCATCCCCTTCACTAAATGCCACACACCTTAGTGTTTTCATAGATACATCTGTATTTTCCTACAGTATAACTATTTACATATTATTCATATGCCAACGAAGTTGATTACGCTTTTGTTTCCGACAGCACATGAATGCAGCATGGGAACAACCCCCCGCCTCTATTACCTCCCCCTTGTCTGACGTCACGCCAACGGCTATTTGCATGAAGTGTTTTCTCGCTGCAGCTTCAACTCGCCTGCAGAACGAGTCTCTCCGAGGGCAAAGCGAGGGAAGAGGCGCAGTGAAAATAGGAGGAGGAGGGGGGATCTTGTGCTTCACATCAGATCAGCAGCAGGAAAAAACATCCTGTACGCGAGGATAAGGTGTCGGATAGCAAAAGCAGAGGGTTAAAAAAAACAAAAAAACAGAAGAGCCGCTCCTCTTGTATCGGAAAATGGAGCTGCCCGCCGCGGGAGAGCACGTCTTTGCGGTGGAGAGCATCGAGAAGAAGCGCAGCAGAAAGGTTTGTCACAAGAGCACTGAAGGACATCTTTACACACATGCACATGGAAAGGAGGATCGTTACTCATTGTGTTTCCTTCACCCTGTTATTTGTTCTCTTTTTTTTCATTAGATCATTTCTAAGGTGACGGTGCAATGCAGAGTGAAATTGTCTATGTAAAGTAACGTTGCGCTAATTATCCCGTTTCTCTCCATTCTCAGGGGAGGTTTGAGTACCTGGTCAAGTGGCGAGGATGGTCTCCAAAGTAAGTCCCTTTGTCAAACATAATACTCATGATGATGATAAAACAACATTCAAAACAGAAGTGTGTGAATGTGTGCGAGCTTAGGCGCGCACATGGACGGTTGCGCGTTCTTGCTTTGGCACTCGACGCGTTGGCCTCGATGATGGATGTGGTTTTACAATGTATGCAATCCCCAGTGTGCCAATTAAAGGAAGACATGTCTGTAATTGATCCCCATGTTTAAGAAATGCACATATATCTACAGTTGAGTGGAGGCTGGGCAATTGTTCTCCTCCCCTCCACATACCCGCACATAAAAGTTACTCGTGATTTATTACACGTGCATCCACAGGGAGTGCAACTGTCTCAGCATGTTGTTTACACATGGCCATGCCTACAAATATAAGCTATGGGAGGATTTACAAGTCAAGAGTTGTTATGGCGCAAAGATAACATTCTGTCCTCAGCCTGTGTCTGATGATGTCTGCCACAGTTTGACAGGCCTATGTGTCCTCACTGCTCACTGTCTGCTCTCTGAATAGATACAACACGTGGGAACCAGAGGAAAACATCCTGGACCCAAGACTGCTTGATGCCTTCCAAGACAGGTAAGTTTTGAGTTTGATAAACCGTCCTCACAAGTGGTGAGTTTCCCATTATATATCACACATACAGGTTTCTTCAAACGCGTCATACATTTCCAGTTCTCCACACAATAGCTGTCTGTTACTCATCCACGTGTTTAAAGTAGGAACTTCCTGAATGTTTGCAGTCGGGAACTATGCTGCGTGGTCACTCTATCTGGATAATCCCATGTGGATAATAAACTTGCTACATAATGTGTCAGTCAATGTTGAGAAATGCAGCGCCTGGGGGTTAGGATCAGGATTAACACTAGTGTCATCAGAGGGTCAGGGTAGGGTTAAACTCAGGTCAGGGTTACCAGAGCAAACTGTGACACTGTGTTGCATCTACTTTGTCACCTGATAGTTATTTGAGTGTCAGCAAAAGGTTATCATGCTAAAGTGCTACCTGCTGTCCCACCCTCCAGTCACCACATGCACCTGTGTCATCTTCCACAGGACATGTCAACCACTTCAATTACACAGTAGACAAATTATTATTGATTATGCAAAAATCATAAACCTACTTTATCAATAGTTCTGTCTGGCTAATTGCTAATTTGTTAAATAGTTTTTATTTTTAGACTTTACACATTTACATCATTGTTACTGAAACTTCAGATGCCTTGCTGAAATCTTTGAAGACATAAAAAATATTCTGATTGGAATAACAATGGATGTCTCATATGGGTTGTTGTGTTTTTTTTCACCAAAAAAAGTTAGTTAAAATGATTAAAACTTCTTCTCCTTAATTAAAAAGTCCATATACTATGGATTAGAGAGTATTGTTCAATTCAAAAGTTTAACTACGAGAGACAAGATCTCTCCTACTCGGCAGAGGTGATAGCAGAGAAACTTTCTCCCTTTAGCAGATTAATGTGGAAGCAGCATTCAAATGTCAAACTCTACTCCTACATCATTCTGCACAGCGAAGGTCCAACATCCAAGTGAAGTTACAAAAAAGCAGGAAAACACATTTTTTGAGAGAAGGGGGGGGGTAAATTATGATGCACATCTTTTCTTAATCTGCTCATGATAGTGGAAAGGCACAAGGAAATGAAGATTGAAGTGAGCAGCGAACTAAATAGCAGCTAATAAATCAGAGGTGCATGCATGGTCTCAATGTCTAACCAGAGGTACTTCCTGATGTTCTCTATTAGAGGAAAATGTGTCCATGGTCTTCAAAGTGGGCTACCATGGTGAAACTAGCTGCTTGGCTAATTCCTAAATAGTCTGTTGAGTGACTGACCAGACAGCTCCACATAAAGGACAGTGTCATTTCATTTCTTCAATGCCTGGCGTGTTAAAACTGTAACTGCCTTTTCTCTTTGCCTCCCTCACCTTTTTGCTTGCAGCAACCTTTCAGGCTTAGGTCACAAGTTAAAGCAAAACACCAACGTCACTCTGTCTGTTTTTGCAATTACCTCTCTCTAAAGAGGAGCGAGCATATTGAAACTAATTGCGTGTCTCTCCGGGGAGCCAAATCGTCTGAATGCCAGGCTATGAAAATACACTGAGTTGTCATTGTAATTAGACGTGAGCGAGGAGAGTGGGGGAGGGGACTGACATCACTCCTGTCTGTGGTATTGAGTTACTGCCTTGGAGAGACTTACATGGAGACGGAGTAAAGCTAAGGAAAATCGGAGAAGGGCTGGTCTTTATCTTCTACTGTAGATACAGACATTACATGAGATAGTATGTGTTTTAATTAAAGTGGAAGGAGCCTCATTTGAATCCACTGTCCCAGTTGAGGACAAGTGTAATGAGATACTGAACATGAAGAAAGGTTAGGATACTGTGAAAAGGTAAATACATAACAATGACATAAAAAAGATGCTCCTTTTAATCTTTGCTGAATGAATTTCACTGTGCACCAGGAAGTGTAACTCCAACCTGTAACACGGGCTCAGTATTTCCTAATTGAGCCTGAGGAGGACACCCGTGATGTTGTGTTGCCATGCAACGGCGACTCATCTCTGCTAGACAGTTTCACTGATTGGCTGCTGCTTTGTCTCTCCCACAGGGAACGCCAAGAGCAGCTGATGGGATATCGCAAGAGAGGACCCAAACCCAAGCACCTTCTGGTTCAGGTGAGAAAGTAATGATACTCCTGATCATCAATAATGCAATAAATGAATTACAGCTTTGCTTAAGATGCATTGTGCACAATTCCCTCTCAGATCCCAGGAAGCAATATAGAAGCATTTTGAATTTCAGATTAAAGGCTGATTTAAAGGGGCCCTCCAGAGATTTAATATTGCACTTCCATAAAGTCACAAAAAAGCAAAGTCCTCCCCCATAATGAGATAACTGATCTTCATGTGTAAAATCAGTGGAGTCCCCGTTTAACTAAGATGAGTTAGAATATTTATTACTAACAATAGATTTGCTTATTATTAGGGACCATTTCCGTGACCAGTGTAGCTAAATGCTCAGTGTGCTGAGTGTACATTTAGCGAATCAATCACAGGTCCAAAAGGCTGGGGGAATCCCTCAGAAGAGTCTTTTTGTTCCTCTCAGGAGGGTGTTGGTGGTAACACATGGGATAAAGTTAATGACGGGACACAAAGCAGCCAGTGACATTCCTCCGAGCTGAGGTCACAGCCACAGGAGACACTTTGAAATGTCACTCTGATGGCCCGGCCGGTGGCTGAAAGAGCTTCACAGTAGCTGTTGGAGAGCTGTGAAAACATGGACGAAGGCCCCTGAAATAAACGGTGTGCCTCAGAAGAGCCCCTCACACATTCCAAGCACTGTTTCTCCAGTGCAACTCATGGGCCCCAACAAACCATGGCTTTTTGTTGTAGCCTGACACAGACACATGTAGATACTGTAGACAGTTCAACCATTAACCGTCAAATGCCCCACTTGAGGGATGCTCGTGTAGAAACACCAGAAATTCTGTAATTCTTCATGTAATACTGATGGAGGTGTATGTGATTTGGGCTTTTTTGAATAATACAAATTATTGTCTGGTTTCACAGGTTCCGTCTTTCGCCAGGAGATCTAGTCTTCTGGCTGGTCTCCATGAGGCGGCCCTGGACGAGGACAGCTGTCAGAAGACCAGCCCCATCCAGATGCTCCTTCCCCAGGGCCAGCAGTACCAGCTGAACAGCAAGAAGCACCACCAGTACCAGCCGCTGTGCAGGGAGCGCGAGGCCGAGCAGCAACAGCCCAACGGCAAGAAGTTCTACTATCAGCTCAACAGCAAGAAGCACCACCACTACCAGCCGGACCTCAAGGACCACGAGGCCATATTTGTTAAACCCAGAGAGTTAAAAGCGCCAGAGCTGGCTAACAAGGGTTATAACCTTCCCCCAGTGCTGCAGCAAAAGTGGATCCGGGACAAGGACTCCGGCTGCCTGACCAAAGTCAAGGATATCACCATGGAGCTGAAGAAGCTTCCAGCGGACCTCAATGGCCACAAAGAGCCGGAGAGGGTGAAACCCAAAGAGGATGCTCTACCGCAGTCTAATGGTGTCAGCAACGGCAAGCTAAAGATCGTGAAGAACAAAAACAAGAACGGGCGGATCGTTATTGTCATGAGCAAGTACATGGAAAACGGAATGAAAGCAGCTAAGATTAAAAATGGTGATTCTGAAACCGCTGGAAAGCCACCGCAAGGAACTGACGACAGCACGGAGAACCATCTTGAGAAGATGAAACTCGTCAAGAAGCTCGGCCTCATGAATGGATTTGCTAAAAACCCCAAAGACAAACCAACAGTTCCCAGTTCTGGATTTAACGGACGTTGCTCCAAAGAAAAGGAACTGTCCCCCAAAACGGAGCCAACTGTGATGGAACGGGTTAAACATGTCGAGGTCAGGGGTCAGGGGCAGCTTTCAGCAGATCAGCCTTTACAATTGACAACCAAGCCTAATCTGCTCTCCCTGCCTTTGGATAGGGGAGTTCCCTCCACACTGGACAAAAGAGGAAGCCAAGGTGGATTTCAAGGACTGAAGCGACACCTCTCTGACATCGACAGTGAGGTTCATGGGAGTAGTAAGAAGTTTTTGAGCTCCAGGAGTATAAGCGCTCCTAACACGGTGTCTTCGCCCTCCCAAAGCATCAGCAGAGACCAAAACGGACACCAGAGTCACATTGGACTGCAGGACTGTGGGTATGCAGACCAAGAGGAACCTATCGACCTGAGCATTGTCAAGTCCAGGACGAACGCAGCCCGGCCTGGAACACACACACAACCTCAGACTGTAAGACAAGCTGAAGCGCACACACAGGCTGAAACGGACACACAAGCTCAAACACAGACAGAAACTCAGAGTGAAACTGAAATCCATAAAGAGGAGGAGAATATCAGCTCATTGTCTGTTTCTAACCACGAAAAGACAAAAGAAGAGACATTTCCCTCTTTCCAGCCTTTCCTTGGGAATATAGTAATCACAGACATTACTACAAACTGCCTCACAGTCACATTTAAGGAATACATCACAGTGTAACTGAACTGGATACAAACTGTGCAACTGTATAAATGTACATTAGATATATTTGTATTTTCGGATGCTTGAATGTACAAATGGACCCTTGATGTTGCTTTCATTTTGTATTGTTCAGATTTTTAAAAAAAAAGAAAGCTCCTTTATTGCATTATTTGCATATTTCTTCTTATACATCTCTGTTGTTATTACTGGAGATGCAGTATCTACATTTTGCTATTTCAAACTTAGTTTAAAAAGCCAAATTAGGTCAAATAAATGTCTGAACTTTGAGATGCACTTAATACTCTTCACTTTTCTATGGATGTCATGTCATACACCCAACTGTCTGCATCTCAGAAAATGTTTAACAAATGTAGGCTATATGGAGAATTTTGTAAGGCAGAAAAATTACATTGAAACATGGTAAATTACACTGTGTGTGTGTGTGCGTGCGTGTGTGGGTGTGAACAGATTTAAACAAGGATGCATGCTGTTTGGACAGATTATGCTATTAAGCATGCTTAAACAAGCAGATAAAGAAAAAAGGAGCGCCTTTCTGTCAATAAATGTGATTTGCGTTGTTGAAAGGGAAAATGGGATGTTTTTAAATGAAAGATTATTAATGGTTAATGTTTGATATATGCTCCTTAAAGTGTTTTTTGAGTCATGCATCTCGAGATCTGATACTGAGCACAAGTCACTTCCATTAAGACAGCAGACATACAACCCTGGGACTCTTATTTATGTTTTGTAGCAGTGCAGTTACAAGAAATGCCTTTTTTTTGGTATTGAATCATATCAGTCACAAATCTGTGTTAACGCTGCCAGTGGAGCTGTGTAATCCAATAGATTAGTACCACCAGATGGGTGCTCTATGATTCTGTTTTTCATGTTTCCGTTCTCTGCCTCCCTGACACGTCCTGTAGGCGACACCGTTATGAATGGGATTGAATGGACTTGTCCTGGTGTCATATTTTAGTAACTTTTGCATCATCGAGTTAATGTGAAAGCACACATCCTTTTAATATTCAGATCTGTTCCCTTGTGTCACACATGCCCCCTCTCCCATTTTCAAAATCCCTTCCAGCACTATGTGATCTGAGGTGCATTGAACTGCTCTGAGAACCATGATCAGATGCACTTTTGATGTTTTGTGTGCAGACTAAAAAAAAAAAAAAGGCTTCCTATGATACATTTTGCAATAATAAAATTGTTTGCAAATGATGTATGGACTTGTGTGCAATGTTTCTTTTAAAATTTACATAATCTTGTCCAGGCTCATGGCTGGTATCCTACATCACATGTGACCTTGGCCTCCCACAGGGAATCAAGATTTAAAAAAGAAAGGGTGGCTGCTAAAACGCTCTTACATGGCCATCCTTACCTCAGAAGTTGCTAAATCTGTACGTGGCTCTATTTGTGGCCATGTGTGTGGAGGCTGCAGGCCGTGAGGATTATTACAGGGAGCGTTTATTTTCAGATGGGCTGCATGAACCAGCTATGTGCCCTGCGTGCATAATGTCACAGGTCAGTCCTGGTTTACTGATCCATAAGGAGAGCAATGCCTTTTCATTCATTTCAAACACTCAACACATTCAAGCGACTGAACAGGCAGGTTTGCCGTTTAATAAACATAACTGATAGTGTTGTAAAATGAAGATAACAGGTGTGTATCACCCAACCGTTAAATGTGTTCTATACTCAGAGAAAAACTTAATTGGATAATAATTGTTCTTAATTAATGTTAATTAAACTAGATAGCAACAAAGATCTATACTGTGAGCTGCAACGCTTTATAGTTTAACCAACACTTCTATGCCCTTGAAGAGGATTCTAGTCGTTTAAAGCTCATCATTTTGACTTGAACAACTGTTTATGTCAGATGTGACCTGAATAAATCCTCCTGACATGCTGAGTGAAAGCAGGAGGCGACTGGTTTCTGTGCTTGACCACCAACAGGTTCAGCTGAAATGGCTCCACACACATAACGCAGGATGTTATTTCCACGGTTTCCCGTTTCAGCCATTCGCATAATGAGTCTGACAGTTGCTGTTCCTCGGAATAACTGGAGGGCGCTTTAAAGGAAGGATGTGCAGAGGAGCTCCGTCTCTTGGTTCGCAAACCTCCCGAAACATCGGTCCTGTTTGCGAGCATTTAAACGCAGCCTCTGCCTTTTTGTCTCGTTTGTTAGGGTACAAATGTTCGATGTTTGCCTTTTCCGACGCTGTGAACACATGACTCGACGAGCGAAATGACAGACGGCAGCTTCCGACCATTTCCTGGGCTGCAGCCCGCCAATAAAACTGCTTTCTGTACGTGTTAACGCGAGCGACGACAGAGAAAATGGCTGTCCTCCCTCTCTGCTCCATCCAGTTTCTTCTCCATCGTGTCTGTCCGAAACGCCTCGCAGCTGCTGCAGCTGACAAATAATTGCAAAAATGTTTCTGCTGAGTGACTAAAGCGGTGAATTCCCCCGAAGGATGCACGATGGAATTACGTATCACGCGGCTTGTTTGCTCATGTACAGGCCAAAAAAAACTGCAAAGCTCCAACCAGGTTTCACGTTATCCGTTAAATGAAACAAGAACTGTGTAAAATGGTGTAATAACGTGTTGTTGGTGAGTCACCCTCTGGTTCCTCTTATCTGCCAGCTCATGCTGAATGTGTGCATGCGTGAGTTAGGCCTGAAAATGCTCTCTGACGGACCGATGAACACAAAAGTAGTTAGTGTGCTGTTGTTTTTCTCAAAATCACTGATCTATTCAGGGGATCCTTTTTGATAGAACACGAACATTGTGTTAATTATGAATCAAATGTGTTTTCCACAGATAATCTTTTAAGTGTAGGCCTACAGGGGTATTTTCCACATAAAGTGCATGCAATGCAGATTAAAACATTTCTGAATCCAACGACAACAGTTTGATAAATCGTTCCTTTACTTATGGTAAATATGCGTATTGCTTCAATGCAGTTGTCAGGAACTAAACACCAACCAGCCTTTAGGCCTATTTGTGCTTAGTAATGACTACTGATACAGCTGACAAATATAGCAAATTGTGAACTCAACTGTTTAACCATGAGCTATAACTCCATTATTTTGTGAAAATGAATTGATTTTTATAAAAGTTTTTAAATAAAACTCAACTCAGGATGTTTGTCATAAAAAAACATTTAGTTCCACTATCAGAATGATACAAAATATTAATCTCAAACTGATTAATAGTTGCTGAGCTATCTATTCACAATGTCTCAACTCTTTGCAATGGCCGGTACAACGCCTGCATTTGCCTCTGTGATTTCAGCCTCGTGAGCAACTCGGTGGTAAATTGTTGCAGAGGCAAACAGCGCACGTGCACTCACTCACAATGCTTGATTTAACCTGCTGGAATAACCCAGCTGGATCCAGTTTAGTGACACAAACAATGACTAAACCCCAAATCATCCAGCAGTGACTGATGCATTAGCGCTGACCTCTGTCTCTTGTGCATGATTCAACAAGAGTAAGGACACAGGTGGTTTAACACAGGCCTGTGCGCGCTGCCGTGGTTAAAATATTGCCCAGTCATCGATCAGTGTTTTACTGTGTAGTTCATGGGATTAGATGTGTTCGTGGCACGCGGACAAAATTAGCCAGTAGCTGGTGAGGCGTTAACACGTAGGCCTATACCCCTCACACCACACCTCCTACGTGCTGGGTTTTTTTGGAATAGGATTTCTAGCCTCCATGAAAATCGATTTTCCTTAATGCCAAGGGGGATTCAGCGAAGGAAACACCTATACATAACGCTGGATATGCAATATTACCTGTTCGTATGATACGAGAGCCTGCATCACCTTTCTACAGTTGATTATGACTTGTATAGATCAGGGTCCGGCAGGGACGTTTGCTCAAGAAAGACGCATAAACAGGAATGAATTGACTGTAGCACCTGCGATAATCATCCCACCTCTCACCCTCTATCTCTCTCTGTGTTTCTTTATTCATATGACTGCATGATCCATATTGCCTGTGTGGTGTGTGTGTGTGTGTGTGGCCGGGCTTTCCCGTTTTGTGCGCACACGAGGAACCAGCGTCTTGCCCGGATACAAGCCAACCAATAGTGTTTAAACGGCGGCAGCACTGCTGCACTGCAGGCGCGCCGAGACCAATCGCATCCAGAGTCTGAGGTGCGCCCATCTTCCCTTTCTGTGTACACTGTTTGTTTGCGAATTGCAAAAATACGACAGGAACGGCAGAAAGAGGAGTGGAATCATAAAGTACATCTTCAAATCATAATTAGACAATCGTCGTCCTCCTCTGAAATGCATTCATTCCAAATGCAATGGTGTATTGATGCTTTAAAGATTCCGATATAGCATTTACCACCACGTTACAATTTCACAGTAGTGCTTTATAAAATGTGGATATCTTCTAAAAATCTATTGTTTGGTAAAATGTCTTTAGATGGATTTACTCTCCCTCTCTGTGGTCTTTCTGCAGAGGCTTTAGCTATTGAGTGAAGTAGTCTGGTTTATTTGGCAAATGTGCGCATGCATGAAACAGATCAGCAAAGAATGTGACAAGTGGAGACTCAATGTTCTTGTGAATATGATTTATCTGCGTTAGGCCGTCGCTTTGCTGTCTGCCAATGAGTGGATTTTGTGTCAGAGCCTGCATACGTTTAGTTTGAACTGATCTACCTTGAGTAGAAACAAATGAGAAGAAACATGTTTTTTAGTAACATATGTAGCAACAGTGTGATCGCATAGACTTTTAAGATAATTAAATTCACCGTGGCCTATTTGTGTACTTTGCAGACACAGTAATTAATTAATAATTTGCACCTAAGGGACTGATAACGACAATTCTGATGAACACAAAATGTTAGTGGTCATTATAATAAATGATTGACCCTTCATCATCCCACAGCGTATATTATGGTCTTTAAATAGCGATTATTGTCTTGATGTCTGATGTTGATATATATGGCCTATATTAGATGAGGGCTCATGGGATAATGCAAGTCTATAAATTCTTTAAATTAAGCCGTTGGCCCGAGTCATTCCGTCGTTTGTTCTTGTCTTGAAACCACAAACAATAATCATTGCCTCTACTTTGATCATTCATTGATATGAAACATGTCATTGGGTCCTTTTTAAATGCATGTTAACATATTTGATCATCATAATTTATTAAGATGTTGGATTTAGAAGCTTTATTGTTACTGTGGGCTTAAGTGTCTGACTGCCTATAACAATAATGTTGAGGTGTCTAATTAAGAAAGTCAATATTCTTCACACAATAACGCCATTTAAATAGACAGGTTTTTAAATATTTTAAATATTCAATTAGATTGTTCAATGCATTCTTTTGAATCAACGATTCACTGATAAGGCTTTGCACGGGTGTCTGGCATGTTTTTACTCTTTTTTTTGAAGTGGAAAGGCCTGTTTTATTTTCTATCTAAATCGTTATTGGACATGAGCGTAAATTCAAACCTATTTCAACCTAATCTGCCAATCGCTTTAGTCCGGGAGACTTGCTCAATTAAAGTAGCATGCTTTGTTAATATAATCTAATATATATATATATCGTAGTTTATTAGTCCTTTTCGAGAATGATGACTAAATAATATACTCAGTTATTATCGGTTCATCGTTCCGGGCTGCATGGAGAATTCGCATTTTAAGACTTGATTGTTTGTTCATCCATTTTCGCTCTGAGTTGTTCTGTTTATTTTACTGTTTAGTTAATGAATGTATAATCATTATACTTTTAAGGTTTGACAAAGATATAGGCTGTAGGCTTTCCTATTTTATAAAACTGTTAGTTCTGTTGACCAGCTATCATAATTATTATTATTATTTGTTATTATTAGTATTTGTTATTATTATTATTATTATTATTTGTTAGTATTCAGGTTAGGTACTTTATTCGTATCAATTACAATAAATTATTTTATTTGGCATTGCCTATTGTCTGCCTTTGTTGAGCCTTTGCTATTTTAATTTGTATATATTTTTGTCTTTATTATATTTATCTAGAGCATAAAAATGTACATTTCGGCCTGTCGGTTGTAGACTGAGCCAAACGGTGATCTGGTTCATCATACATTTCCAAGTCATTGCTACTCTCTTTTTTCACTCTCTTTTTTTATTTGTTTGTTTGTCTTTTAAAGTCACGATTAGGAATGGGAAATAGGATTTATTTATTGATATTATTACGTTAACGTTTTAAAAAGAATGTAGGACACTAAAATGTTTCCTTCTCTGGTGTTTACTTTTAATTTTGTGTGGCTCTGTTATTGCGTTGGCTGGCACATTAAAAAAGGCCCAATGAAAGCCTGTACAGGTTTTGATGGACTTTGGTTGAGTAATCTCACTGCCAGAAAAAATCCCATACAGACATAAAATCTGTTAATGGTTTATAAAAATAACCAGAAGCAGACCACAACCCGATGTTTTATTGAAAACATCAATCAGGCGGTGACTACAGAGAGGGAGCTATAGGTAACGTCGGTCAGACCTGAAGTGCAGATCATATGAAAAGGTTTCCTGGCCGGCATGTAGTAATAGCCGAGTTTAGACTACAATCTAGAAATCCCATAGACTGTCATTTTACCCGATTTAAGATTTGTTTTATAAATTCCATAAGTAGGCCTGTATGCAACACATTTGCTACATATGCCCTAAAACTTTGCGTTCAAATTCAACACTAAAGATGTGGCAAGATGAAATAGTATGAATAAGAAATAGCCTGTAATTTCACCTAACGGGAGCAGTGCATTGATCCTCTGTGCTTAGCAAACGAAATGAACGCGGTCACTTCACTTGCAACGAGTTCACACGGACGAGTAGGCTACAGCGTGTGTGCTGAATAGCACTAATACGCTGATAATAACGTATGCCAAGCAAGTTTACTGCATTATCTGATGGATACTTTGCTGGCTGTACTTAACAAAAATGAGGGATTGTCTCCGTATCTCTCGCCGTCGTATAAATCAAACGGCATTGCTATTTCCTGGTTTATCTATTCGATTGAGGGACACTGTCGCGTGCATATAACTAAACTGCATTTTATACCACGTGCATTATTTTTGAATATCTCATATAAATTGCGCGAAATGATTCACTCGCCGCGCGGGTAAAAAAAAGTCACCACCACCCCTCCCACCCCTAAAGAATTTACTCGGGCTCACGCTCCTCCCCTCACTTAGCAACCCGAGCACGTAGCAACGGCTGCACCAATGGGCGTTCTTCTCGAGGTTCCACCGACTGCGGTTCCTTAGCAACGCAGTAAAAAAAAAAAAAAATTGCGCTGACGTCCATTCTGTTGGGGAGTATTATGGTCTGTCGGGAATTCAGAGTGGCTGGGACCAGAGAAAAATATATCTGCTGTGCTAACTGTTAGCTGTTCACCGAGCTAACGGTAGGTAGCACTGGAGTAAACATGGAGCTGTCTGCCGTCGGGGAGAGGGTGTTCGCGGCAGAGTCGATCATCAAACGGAGGATAAGGAAGGTACGAGAGAGATGGAACGGGCCCCTTTTCTCCGTCAACACCGCACTGTACTAGTACTGTTGCCCTGCAAGCTAATGAAGTATTTTCTGTTTGTTTCTGATGGCATGCAGGGTCGGATTGAATACCTTGTGAAATGGAAGGGCTGGTCTCCCAAGTAAGTCCTGCTACACTGTGTGTGTGTGTGTGTGTGTGTGTGTGTGTGTGTGTGTGTGTGTGTGTGTGTGTGTGTTGCGTGTTTTCAGCCCGCGTTGGTGGTGGTGTGTCTGCACTGTCTCGACTGTGGCTGTCGTTAGCCGGGCAAAGCTAGCGAAACAGATTAAAACCGAGGAGTAACGTTCGCGTATAGCACGATGGAGATTGTAGCTTGCAGGCTAACGATACGGCCGTCCCCAACAGTGTGTGTGCGTGCGTGCGTGCGTGTGTGTGTGTGCGTGTGTGCGTGTGTGTCAGCGCCCGCTTCCTCAGTTTCCTCTAACGCTGTTTTAATTCACAGATACAGCACTTGGGAACCAGAGGACAATATTTTGGACTCCCGCCTGTTTGCCGCTTTTGAGCAGAGGTGAAGTTTAAAATGCTTTTATGTGCAGAGCCAATAAATAAATATATATGCATGGTGTCCTCGCGGTGCACTTTGCTCCCGTGACACTCAACGTGGGTGTCTGTCACTGTTCTTCACAGGGAGCGTGAAAGAGAGCTGTATGGGCCCAAAAAGAGAGGACCAAAACCCAAGACATTTCTACTCAAGGTAAAGTTAGCAGCGTTGTTTCATGTCTGTCTGTCTGTCTGTCTGTGTGTGTTTTTAATGCATTGCATGCTCACTCACAATAACGTCAAATCCGCACTCATATGTTATATCACAACACAGTCTATATAATGTGTATTCTGGTTTCGTACCTTTTAACTTGAAGCTTTTGCAAATTCATTTCGGACTCATTGTATTTCACCTTAATGCGCAAGCCTCCTTAATTATGCTAATTAGGCATGTTCAGTGTATGTAGCGTGTGTATTAGTATTAGTGTATTAGAGGAACTGTTGACATGCTAACAGTTTCAGCCATTCCTGTTTGCAAGCTCTTGTTGAAGCGTCTTGCTCTAGGTCCTTAATCTTTATGTAAAATCCGCCTGCACCAGCCACTATATCTGTCATTAAATTAAGATGCATAAATGTTTGGGCAGTAATTTAAACACTCAACATGTGGTTTTTAGAGAAGATATTTTGACATGTTACAGTAGGAAGAGCACAGGTGTGAATAATAAAATGAATGATGGCTGAATAACATTTAGCTGCTCAGGTTTCAGGGTCCTGGCATGCTGCCTGGTCACGCTGTCTTAACCAGTCAAAATAACTGCCATGAAAAAGGCCTGTTAAGTCAACTAAGAAATAAAAAGCCCGAAAAAGAATAGACATTTATTTGTATAATTTTGAATAATAATTTCCCTCTCATTTTCTTACCTTTCAATAGGCTCAGGCTAAAACCAATTCCTATGAGTTCAGAGGCGACGTAGTCCGAGGGATGCACATCACCTATCCGACCCCAGAGCCGGTTGTGACCCCCAGGGCCAGAGAGGGTCTTAGAGCCGTTGTTCCCACCATCTTCCCACCCAGCACTGTCAACCGCGGAGAAAGCGTACGGGTCCGACCCCCAGAACTGAGCACCCGTGAGTACCAGCAGCCTTCCCTTCAGCAAACTGGTCCAGACGGGCTCATCCACATACCCAAAAAAAGAGGCCCAAAGCCTAAGCCCCTCTTCAAGGATGGCAGCTGCAGCCCCGCGGTCTTTGAACACCACAAGAGGAGAGCAGAGGAGCAGGTGAGCTACAGCCCTCACAAACTGGCTAAGCTCCAGGGGGGTGAAGAGATGAGTGTGATCAAAGTGGCCCACAGACATCCAGAGATCCATGGTCATAAACACCACCACCACCATCATCACCACACGCACAACCGGGGACTCTCCGGGGCAAGCTCCTACAAGCAGCTCTACTCAGACCGCAGCCTGATTCCACACAGGACAGACATGGACACACACAGGACTAAGGACAGCTCCACCTACCTGGCACCTGTACACGTCAAGCACCAGTCCAAAATGAACCAGAGCCTGAGTCGCCCCGTGGAGCTTCCACAGATGGAAAAGCCTTACTTCTTGGACAGGCCATCTCCGACCAGGCTCGACGTCGACTTGGACGAAGTGACGTGGAGGCCCTCCGTCGGCAACGTGGAAAAGGTCTTGGTGACGGACGTGACCACCAACTTCCTGACCGTCACCATCAAGGAGAGCAGCACTTCTAAAGGCTTCTTCAAAGACAAAAGATGATTGCTTGACTCATTTCCTCTTGCCAGGCTTTGCTTGCATCTGAGTCATTCTGAAGCTTATAGGACATAGTGTGATTATTAAGCAAAGCGTTTTTTGTATTTAGTGTATGAAAGCAGATGACGTAATGTGCATATGTGTATATATTAATAAGTTGGACATGTTCTGTTTAATGTATTGACCAAATCAAATTTGGTCCATTTCACATCTTGCATTGGTTGAAACATGAACAAGCTGCATGTTTCTTTTGCAGCAGTCAGCTACTTTCTGTACAGAGCGTGTGAATTTTACTATTTTACAATTTTAACTAACTAGAATGTATTTTTTTCACTCTTATATCTTCCAGTCTGAACTCATTTATGAGAAGTGAGGCGACGTTTAGATTAATAAATTCAATCCGTGGATTGATTATTTCTCTACAATTTGAACCGATTAGACTGAATATAACACGTTCAATTAAATGGGATCGATATTTAATAATGTACTCAAGCACTTTGAATTCAAAAGTATTAAAAAATCATCTGTTTGTGTTGCATTCAAAGACCGAGTCTGTAATGTCTCTAACATTTGTAATTGTAAGATGAAGTAATCAATTTAACACGGACACGCTACGAGTTTTCCCACGGTGTGTATAACAACATGTTTCCATTAACTATATTTTACATTTTCATAGAAAACGTTCATAAAGCTTTAATGTAAGACGATAATCACAGAGTTGGTGTCAATTTGCTTTTTAGACGCTTTCCAATAAATCCTTTGAATTTTCTCAATTCCAGTGTCTTTTTATGAGAGCTTTTATTTCAGCGCCGTCGGACTCGACATTGTTTTACTGTTCTTTAAAGGCAATGGAAATAATGGGTTTTAACAAAACATGTTAAGCAATAGGCCTTTAGGTCCACCGTCTATCGTGAGGGTTACTTTCTTATTCTTTACATAAATTTGAATGGGCTCAATTTCTGTTCTAGCTATAAGACATTGGGAGATCAATGAAAAAATGTTATTTTAAATTCTTACAAGCTAAATAAAGCGTCTCTAGTGCGATGACTACAGCACAAGTTAAAGGCCTTTTATAAATACAAGCCTGCTGCAGCGGGCCTACGTTCATTTCGGAGTATAGTTAGTTTAGCAGAGCATTTGGGTATTCTCTCTTTTACACCAGCAGTCCATAAACCCGCAGACTTGCTGTGAATATTTCATTTATGGAGGCCTACGCGCAAGTCAGCTTTCTTTAGGCCACTCTAGTTCAGTCGTTTGAATAAATGACAAAAATGCAGCTATTTATTCTCATAGGCATCAACTGCTATATCCTGTTCTTTATTCCGAGATGTATTCAATTTCTATAATTTTAGAATAAGCGGCACATTTATTTGTTTAATATATAAAGGGACGCTATATAGCATCAACCAATGTCATACCGCAGCATATAGCCTAAGCAGATGGGCTTTTAAAATATTCAGAGTACTTTTAAATATAATATTTTTCTTCTGGGCTACAGGCCTGAATGTGCAGCTGGATGGACCTACTTTTTACTGCTCTTTCCAGGCGCGACATTAGTTTCCCTTTCTGTGTCTCGTGTCCGGTACAGAATACCTTACAACACTTTCACGGGACACCTGAACGCTGAACGAGGCCGTCTTTTGTTGTTCCGAAATAATAGAAACGGAACAAACTGTTTCCTGTGCTTGAACCCTTTTCATTACCTGATCCTGGTCTCTTCCAAAGGGTCTCTTCATCGAAATGTGATACTGAACCAAAGTAAGAGGCACAACATTTTGTTCTCGCTTATCTGATTGTTGACTAAACGCATAACGTCATAAGCTCCTCCATTGGATGCGTTAAACCGCAAAATAGGAGCTATAGCCCATAGAGGGTAAACAGCCCATAACACCTCCCCCTCTTCCTAACATAATAATAATTATCATCATCATCATCATCATCATCATCATCATCGTCATCATCAACATCATCTTAATAACACGACCACTGTTGTATAGGCGCATGTATTTGGATTTATTTATGATTGTATTCACTATAATACATTTCACTCTTTGATGCACGTTTAAGAAAACAAATGCAGAAACTACTACACTGTAAACTACACAGTAAACTACACAACTGTAATACAGTAAGATTATATGCATGACCATTTATATATCATAAATCTTCACATGGTCATATAGGAGAGACAGAGAGAGAGTCCATCTTTGTATTATTTCATTGCCATGTCCATGGGTCCTTTACTGTGAAGAGAAAAAAGTAAAGATCAGTTAAAACATTGTCATCTGGTCAGGTGGAGTTAAACATTATGTGATTCATGGATTCTACTATATCAAATATGCACATTTCAGCATCACATAGAATGGAAACAGGTCATCCCTTTGCTTTGCACTTAACAGGAAGTTTAGAAATTTTGTTTTGAGTTCATGTGGCTCTATTCCAAAGTTTGAAATAACTATAGACATCTGTTATTTAAACAATAGTTGACTGTGTTTAAAGCAGGGCTTCTACACCGTAAGCAACTTAAGGCCCACTTATAATTGTTAAAACAAATTCAGAGTACCACATTTTATACACCAAATAAATAAGAAAAAAAGCACAACATGACAGAAAAAAACAATATATATTCTGCTTACCCTCACATTTCAACTGTCTGCCATTATGAATATAAACTGAATGCATTCAGGGTCATATTTCTTCACCAAAAGTTTTGGAGGGAAGGTTGTCTCCCATATATATTTTTTTGTTTCCAAAACTGATCCATGTAGCTAACCGTGACAAAAAACATCTGTCTCTGATGTAATTGGTGTGTTGATAATCAAACGCAACTGGTCATTGAAATCATGCTTTGTTTGAAAAACTGTATCTTAAACGTATGTATGTACATATTAGTTTTTTTAATTTAATCAAAGCATTTGGCAGTAGCTCAGCAGCCCACTAGATGGGGCCCACCAGTGGTGAGAATAATTGGTTTAAAGTATTACGTGGCATCAGTCAGAAACAGTTTTGCAGGTTTCTGAGGTTTCCTGCTGAGCCCGATGGTCTTGAAAAAAATCACAGACAACAGGAAGAGAGTTAACACACCAATAGTGAGAAATTACCAACATAGAAATAAGCAATTCAAAAGTGGAAGAGGCAATGAAGAGATTAAGTTGTAGATGAATGTAATGACTTTACTCCGGCCTGAAAGCAAGAATTACCTTTCTACTTTTGAAATTAGCTCAGAAGTTCCAACGGTTTGGTAAGTGTGGAAAAAAGATTACGCCCTGCAGTGTTGGTTTCTTGCTGTGTATGTGCACAAGGGTGCATTCAGGTACAGTGTGCATTTGGGGTCCGAAGTGAAAGTGTAGACTTGTGGGGACCTCTGTCATCACCTTCATCAGACGGGGTATCCGTAGTTCCTGTCACAGCGAGGGTAGCAGTGGGGGTTCAGCCAGTTCTCCATGTTGGTCTCCTGGGCCCTCTGATCTAGAACCTGCATGTGAAGCAGATGCTCCTGGGTGGAGTGATAGGGTGATTAAGGTGGAGGAACATGAATAACTGCAGGTCTGTATTGCAACCCTTTGCACAAATGAAAGTGAGTGTTAAAGAGGGGAATCAGTGCTTACTCAGAACTATTTATTCCTCTGCTTTCGTTCTTGCTTTACACCACAGCAGTGCAATAAGCAGCACATGACAGCCAAGAGTGAAATTACAGAGGTGAGTAGAGCTAAACAGAGTGAACCGTGCTTGGACTTGAACAATGATGAATTGATGCATTCAAAGCATTACAATGCACAAACACACAGAAACACATTACTTTAAAGATACTGCTGCCTCACAGTTGGGTTTAGTTACACTTCAGTACAGTGACAAAGACAAATGTCTTTTATTAGCTGATTCACATAGTGAGCGCAAGAGGACAGATTTGTAATATATCTAAAAGAAAACTGTTGTCAAACTGTTTTTTAAATAGATTTATTGAGTTTTGGGGTGAATATTTTCAATAGCAAGTCAACATGGCTCTATTGTAAAGTGATGTCCAGGTGACATCATTTAGTGTAAATGAACAACTACGTAGCTGTGTATGTAAAAAAACTAAAACAAATTAAAACTTAAAAGCTAAAATTCCCCAATGACTGGTATGTAATAGACTTAATTGATTTCAAATGAGAAAATACATTATAATATATAATATTATATCTAAGGTTTCGCCAAACAATCTCTGACAACTTAGTTTTAAAAAAATTATAATTTGTTTCTATTTATTTGTTCATTTTGTCATATTATTTTGCTTAACCCTTTGTTGAACTGGTTTTACATGTCAACTGTATCTGATGTGTAAAAAGTTACCAAACAAGTTTAAAAAATAAATAAGTAAATGAATAATAAATTAATGACATTTTTAAAAGATACTGATGTACTGTGTAAATGCATATCTTGTCCAAACCTAGAACACTCCTAATGAACAAATAACGAACGCTTAATGACATAATTGATATATGATATGACATGTTTTCATGAGTATGGAATACATTTTAAAACCCAAGGATTTATTTTTAGCAAGCATTCATTAATTGTTAATACAGCAGCAATTGATGCTTCATATGAGGAATTATTATTGTTGACAAAATCATTAATGAACACTGTGATAAAAATGTCTTAATAATTTCTTAATGCTACCTTACAGTTTCGAAGAATGTATTGCTTATAATAGGAAGGTTAAAATGCTGTTTTACAGAACTCAGTGTGATCGATAGTCGATAGCCACTGTCCACCTTGTGTAATGTATCTGTGCTTTGTGCTCTGAATGAACCTTACCCTCATTGGCTCATCAGGGTGGCCGGCCTTCATTGGCCGTTCCTGCCTCTTGCTGCGGAGCAGCTGCTTAGCGAAGCTCTCCTTGATGATAGGGTTGGCATCTGATGGAGAGAGAGAGAGTAAGAGTTGGACTAAAAAGAGATCAAATGTTGTTTTCCATGTGATACTAACATCCAATTCTTCTACTGGAGGTGGAAAAGAAAACATTCCACAAAGTTGCACATAAAAGAATGAGATTGTATTTTTGTTTTTGTTAGATGTGAGTGTGTGTATGTGAGTGGAAACTAAGACTGTCTGCTCTGGGTTTAACCTCTGCCTGAGTTATTTTGCTTTTTTTTCTACGAACATAACAGCTGTTTGCTCGGTGGCTGGGTATTGGCTAATCAGGATGACATTCCTCTTAAAGCTGTGTTCAGACCCATGAATAACCCTCTCACCACCACCCATTGCTGGTGAGCTGTGGCTGACCTGATCTGTTTAGCTGGTCCATGTGAGGTTGTTTATTCCCCAATGCAAGCCCCAAGGGAGCTGCTAAACACACACGCACACACACACACACACACACACACACACACACACACACACACACAC